TCCCACTGAACATTTCATATCAGTCGCATTAAATGGTGACGAGCACTACAGAAACTACTTGTATGTGTGAGAAGTAAAATCGTAGGGACATTTGTATTTTGGCTTGAATGGGCCCTTTCAAAACAAACACTTTCGTAGATAGTTCACATAACGATTTTACAGTTACTTTGTTAACATACATGGACAAACGAGTATGGTTTACTTCTCATTTAGCATTTAACTAGCGTTGGCTCGGTGGGGAACCAATGAGGAACCGTATGGTATTTGTGTAGGGAATCCAACCGGCGTGATGGCTGAACATTTTAATCAATAATGTTCCCCTGTTGTCCCCTCTCGAACAAGCAAGTATGAGTATTTCAGTTACATCACGGTGTCAGTTTTGATGTGAGAGAAAAGCCCAGAGTGATTCGGGCTTTGGATGTTTACTTCTTCGACAACCAAGAATCCTGTATGATCCTTGAAACAATATCAGAGAAAATATGGGATTATAGGTCTTTGTCTGCCTGTTGTACTCAACTAAACAGCAAATTGTGGTAGCCCTGGCTCCCAGCTGTTGACCAGGGAACAAGTCGAGTAATATTTATATACCTACACAACTCGTACATGTACGTGCTTCGCAGGGAACATGTATGTGTTTGCTGCGTACTATCACTGTTTGAATGAGGCGCCCGCGACCCACCATTGCCTGACCCAGCCTTCGCGCCGCAGGTGTAGGTCTTTCAACTTGTCGATTGTCCAAAAGGGTTCACCATCAAATCATCAGGCGCACTCAGAAGACACTTTGACCACTAAAAGTCCCCTTTAGCGACCTCTGGCAAAAATCTTTGACAGTTTAGAAACTGTTCTGTCCAAGAATGCCGTTGACGGAGTGTTTTGGGATTCAAGCACATAATTCGGGATTGATCTCAGGCCTCACTAAACAGTTAAATGATTGTTAACTTAAATTGCCTGCATTTGTGACCAAACACATGCAGTAAACTACGGTTATAACGAACACGCTTATCACGAACTGACGGATATAACGAACTAACTTTTTTATTCCCGACTATTTGCTGTAGTTATGCTGTACATATGCTTATGACGAATTACGGTTATAACGAACTAAAATTAGCAGTCCCTTTGAGTTCGTTATAACCGTAGTTTACTGTATCACTTTTTTGAATATACACCTGGAAAATGTTAATCACCAGCTACTGTGGAATGGTATTTTGTATTAATTTTCTGAAAATACACATTTGCTTTTGAAGACGATGTGACATGTTTGTGTTGACATTCAGAAACTAAAACCGACTAAGTAGCAACCGTTTCAGCGCAATAGTTGACGTTCAGATGCTTCTTTGTTTCTTGGGTGGTTGGGTAGCCTAGTGGTTAAAACGTTCGCTTGTCACCCCGAAGACCCCGGTTCGATTCCCGACATGGGTACAATGTGTGAACCCATTTCTGTTGTCCCCCGCCGTGATATTGCTGGAATATTGCTCAATCTTTGTTTCTTTACATCATACCAACCTCACGGAAGATACTGTGTTCTTGTACCATCCCTTCTCAAAATAACTGGGTCACGGGTGGCCCAGTCGTCTTAGTCGCAATTCAGTGCACAGAGTTGCGTCCCTTGGGCACACCAGAAACCTATGATCGTGGGTTCGAATCCCGGTTTGCCCCGATTCTGTTTCTAGGTTTGTCAGTCCCATACCGGTGAGTTTCACAAAGTGTTAAACGTCTGACACCTGCATCACCCTCAGTAAACTGACACGCCGTGAAATAACTGGAATATTGTTCAAAGCGGCGCTAAAACCAACTCACTCACTCACTCGTATATCTATGGTATATTAGAGATTGTGATCACTGTCATGTGTAGATATGTCCAAAAATTCCCTAAGAGTTCGAGATATATGTGAAGAGAGATGGGATGGTCCTTTGTCGCTGTCTTGGTGCATACACGAAGTTAATCGGCGTCCCCGCACATGGCCCCTGGACATAACCTTGACCTCTACGTATTAGTTGATCACGTGGTCATTTATCTAGCCTACGCAGTATTGGTGTATGGATTTACTCATAAAGCCATCTTCATTATAATTTATTGACACTGATCTCTGAGGAAAAGCTTGCGGCTACGTTGCCCACTGTGAAAATTAGTGTTTGTTCATGGTTCAGAACGGGGCCCCTCTACAGTCGTAATCTGTCATGTTTGAGAGTTAATAAAGATTTATGCTTCAAAACACTCTAATGTGTAAAATTGATTCGAACATGCACTCTGCTGATTGCTACATAATTACCAATTATGAAGTCAGCGGCTGTAGGAGAATGTCGAATGTTATGACCAGTCAAATGACACATGCATGTTTAATTTGTGAGTGAGTCAGTGAGTGAGTATGGTTTTACGCCGCCTTTAGCAATATCCCAGCAATATCACGGCGGGGGACATCAGAAATGGGCTTCACACATTGTACCCATGTCGGGAATCGAACCCGGGTCTTCGGCGTGACGTGCAAACGCTTTAACCACTAGGGTACCCGACGCCCCCTGTTTTATGTATGAGACAGCAGGGTTACAGTATGTCGCAATCTGGTCTCTGTTAGGGGTTTGAGGTTGTCAGAGGCATATATGACACTGGTAGTGAGTGAGTGAGTGCATGGTTTTACGCCGCTTTTAGCAATATCCCAGCAATATCACGGCGGGGGACATAAAAAATGGGCTTCACACATTTAACCCATGTCGGGAATCGAACCCGGGTCTTCGGCGTGACGTGCGAACGCTTTAACCAATAGGCTACCCGACCGCCCCCTGTTTTATGTGTGAGGCAGCAGGGTTACAGTGTGACGCAATCTGGTCTCTGTTAGGGGTTTGAGGTTGTCAGAGGCATATATGACACTTGTAGGATTGGATTGGTGATGCGGGTGGGCGTTGGGATGTGATCATTTTGTTGAAGTGGGTATGTGTGGTGGTGGTGGTGGTGGTGGTGGAGGGTACTGCGGTAAGGTTAGATAGGTGTCGGTCATGGTGGTGGGGTGGGTTGGTAGTGAAGGTTGGTGCTGGTGATGTGGGTGTAGTTTGGGGTAGGGGTTAGTGATATGGGTGGGCATTGAGGGTGGTGGTGTGGCCGTGGGGGGTAGTGATACGGATGGGCATTGGGAGTGTTGGTGTGGGTAGGGGTAGATTTTCGAATTTTTGATGGGCATTGAGGATGGTGATGAAGGTGAGGTTGGGGGTGGGGGTTGGTGATACGAATCGGCATTGAGGATGGTGATGTGGTTGAGGGCTGAGGTTAGTGATATGGATGAGGTAAGGAGTGTGGTGAGTTATGAGATATGGGTGGGCATTGACGGTGGTGATTTGGGTGGGGGATGAGGTTAGTGGTATGGATGAGGTTAGGGGTGTGGTGAGTCATGGGATATGGATGGGCATTGACGGTGGTGATTTAGATGGGGTATGAGGTTAGTGATATGGATGAGGTTAGGGGTGTGGTGAGTTATGGGATATGGGTGGGCATTGACGGTGGTGATTTGGGTGGGGGATGAGGTTGATGATATGGATGAGGTGGGGTTGAGGTTGAGGTTGACGACAAGTCTGGCATTGGTGAGGGGGATATGGGTGAAGTTGAGGTTAGGGGTTGATGATATGCATGGGCATTGAGGGTGGTGAATTTAGAAGGGTATGATGTTGGCTGGTGTTGGTGCTGGTAGACTTGTCTAGGTGTTTAATTGAGAGCTGTTTGCTATTCAATCACTATGACCTATTAACTATGAACTGGATGCCCTATATGAGAGTCACAGATTATCCTTATGTATTCTGACGCTCATTAAATCATGTACCTATTCAGGGGGCACGGGTGGCCCAGTCGTCTAAAGCGCCGCGATTCCCTGTGCAGAGTTGCGTCCCTTGGACACGCCAGAAACCTATGATCGTGGGTTCGAATCCCGGTTCCCCCCGATTATGTTTCTAGGTTTGTCAGCACCATACCCGTGCTCGTGGGTTTCACCGAAGTGGTAAACGTCGGAGGCCTGCATCACTTCGGGCTTTCCTCCCACATTAAGCTGACACGCCGTGATATGACTGGAATACTGTTAAAAGCGGCGTTACACCCAACTCACTCACTCACTGTACCTATTCATGCAGAGAAACATTCACTCCGGACAATGAATAATGCTTTCGAAGCCCAAATATACACATATCAGCCAACTCACATTGAAACAATCATCTGCTCGCTTTTGTCGCTACGTACGACAATTATGGAGGATTTGAGGCTTTCCTTGTCCCAAATCGAAATCCTTTACAAATGTCCTTTAAGTAAACGAGGGCACGTTAATGACAAATTGATTTACACTTTTTAATACAAGAACCCCACCCACATACATGATTACTTCAATGACATTCAAATACACACAACAGCAGTACATAGAGATAATTAATTGTTATGGATAATAAATTATCATTTTTTAAAATCTTTCCAGTATTAATGTCCCCACACCCTTTGCGGGATAAGCATTGACGCCCACGTTGTTCAAAATAAGAGAACGACCCGGTCTTAGTGCAACACGTCCTTGAATTAATTTTATAGCAGTCACAATGTGTTACAGAGATGTCTCCTGTGTAGGTGTTTCTTCGTGATATCGAACTGATTATATACTTCGTGCGTGAACCGCGAATCTGGCAAAATAATGGACATATATGTGTGACCGCTTGTAACGATTTTCCGAACAAATGACAGGAAACGTCAACATTGAACATGATTAACGGAAAAAATTAACTTGATTAATCCTCCTGATTATTTACCTGCTGTGCTGTTCTATAAGCACCCCAGTGGTTAAATGAGACTGCCATATTCTATAAGCACTCAAAATGGTCAAAATGAGTCGTGTTATTGCATGTCTTGTCACGACAGTTCGGTTCTCGTTAGTGTGTCCACTAATTTACTTCCCTTTGATGTTTACAACGTCGTTTCTTGTTACATGTATAAGTGAAACATCACGTGACATCCTAAATGTGTACGCTTGCTGTTGCAGGAAGCAGGACGCGGTCAGCACCTATCGGACTTACCACTTATCACCGCACCCATGGTCATGCAAGAAGTCAATTTGACTAAGCCTGATAGTTAACAGCTCAGATCCCCATCGACCAACCAAATCATCCCGAGGCTTGACATCATCGCTGATTGGTTGACATCGAGACGCTATGGCGGACCCTGGACAACTGACGTCAACAGCAGCTTACTTCAACACTACGGTCGGTAGTAACTCCACGTTGTCAGACATGGGGGGCAACGCTTCCCAAGAGGTTCTGACAGGTCTGGATGTATGGAATTCGTGGTATCGCCCCGTCCATGGATACGCTGCCCCAATTGTGTGCATCTTCGGAGTTGTGGCAAATGCGTTGAACTTTTTTGTTTTGACCAGCAAGAATATGCTATCACCGACTAACGTTATTCTCTCGGGTTTAGCCGTGTCTGATGGACTCACAATGGCGGCTTATTTCCCATACGCCATTCTTAACTACCACATGTTTGATTCCCGTCCCTCCCCGTTAGCAAACGCTCGTTTTCTTTTGTTTTACGCCATTTTCAGCGTAGTGGTACACTCCATTTCAATTTGGCTGACGGTTTCTTTGGCACTCTTTCGTTACATATTCATACGCAATCCTCGACACGGAGCCAAATTGTGTAGTATTCAAAGAGCCAAGCTGACAATTTTAATCGTATCGGTAGTAACAACGATTGCTTGTGTACCCAACAGCGTGTCCTACAAGTTTACCGACTATACAGAGAATAACGTTACGTCATGGTACATTGATGTCAAGAAAGACACCTCTGCCGCAATTTTCATCAAGAACCTCAATTTCTGGACACAAGCCCTCTTGGTAAAACTATTACCGTGTTTTCTGTTGACAATACTGAGCGTGTGTTTGGTTAAGACAATGAAGGATGCGGAAAAGAGGAGGAAGAAGCTATTGAATAAGACCAAGAAAGCGGACGACGACAACAAACGGCAGGGGAAGACCAACAGAACGACGCGCATGCTTCTCATTGTCGTTGCTTTGTTTCTGTTGACTGAGATTCCTCAGGGAATCCTTCAACTGCTGAGTGGGGTGATCGACGGGTTTTTCATAAATGTGTACAGCCCTCTGGGGGATTTAATGGATATTCTCGCTCTCATCAACAATGGAATAAACTTCGTCCTGTACTGTACGATGAGCAAGCAGTTCAGAGATACATTCATCAAAATATTTCTCAAGGACATGCTGAAGGGTGGCGAGAAAAGGACAGCTCTTGTGCAAACCCAGGCCACACGTGACTCTGACGTGTGAATGTACTGATGTGCCTCGCTCTGCTCAACTGTATGAACACCGTGCCTAGTCAATGAACACTGTGCTGAGAAACTGGTTGGAACAATGCGTGATACTTGAAGTGAAGGTGTAGATAGACGCACGCCGGCTGGCATACAGTTTGTCAGGAAACAGAACAACTAGGTTGACCCCTTACTGCAGATCTATTATGGCGTCATAATTGACTGCAGAACTTGTTTCCTGACAGGGCTGTGTTTCAAGTTGGCCATACGCTGGACTGATGAGCTGCCTTGAGTGACTGGTCGTAGTTGGGAGTGAACGCTTGTACATAACCCGTCACTTGGATCTGTGCATACGGTGACTTATACAGAGAATGATGTAAATACACTTGTATTATACCCATGATGTATAGCAGTTAAGTAACATCCTGCTACTTGTATATACCCAGTAGTGGACACAGCCATGACGAAATAGCCGGATACTGCACTCGGCGACCTCTTCCCCATCTGACAACAGGGACGCTGTGTTTGTTGCCTGGCGACAGTCAAAGGCGTGATGAGACGATTTAACTGACTATCATATGGTTTTTATTCCTTGCTGGCTTGACCGAGACCTGCTTCTTGTTAATGCTGTATATACATATATCGAGTATATTCCTCTGTTGAGTGTTGTTATCATGCAAAACAGCTACCTGTATATGTATCGTAGTGTGCACCTTATTTGTACTGACTTACGTAAGGTAAATAGTATTTTGTGATACAGTCTTTTTGCTTGTTTGTGGGCATCCACATGGATATGGCGCCGGACTTCTGACACAAATCGTGAGTATTTTAATGCAAACAATTCACATCCGTCATTCGACAACAGAAATGCTATTTTGCCACTACGAAGGAGGTCAAACATTCAGCAAGATCATCAGAGACACAAAACACGAGGTTGATGTAACAAATTAATAAAAAAGTCACAACAGATCTTAACAGAATTCGAACGGACAATGACGTTACCTCGTAAACCTTCACGCATTTGCTTGCAATAGGGCGAAATATAGCATACAGCATCTGTTACAAGTGCAATATTAAATCACCATAATTAACGGTATTCAGTTTTAAGGGGTATGTGGGGCCGGTACTAGTCTCAATCTAGACTTCAATCAGTGACATGCATCAAACGGTACAGCCTGTTTCTGCAATCAGAAGAGTTGGAGAAATGTGGTTTAATGACGTGTTCAGGATTATTGCAACAACAAGCATGATGTTTTAAAGTCTTTTGGAAAAACGCACCCGGGAATCGAACAACCGAACTTCCGCTATCCAAAAACAATACTCTTTCCACCATACCACGTCTGTTAATCTTTAACTGCGTGATCGATGAACAACATAACGCAAAATGTATTTAAGGTAAAGTAAAGGGGGTTCGAATGATTGGAATCTAACTGACTAGGTCGCTAATTGACCCGAATCTAGTGCCGCTTTACAGAGTTGCGCCGTTTAGTATGGTCGGTTCGAATCTCTGTTCGCTCTGTGTACGTTTCTAAGTTTATCAGCACCATACCTGGGCTTTTAGCTTCAACACTATGGTAAACGCCTAAGATCTGAATGACGTCGGTCTTTCCTCCCAAACCAACGTGAAACAACGTGACATACTGCTCAAACACGAGAATACTGTTCAAACTCACACACGTTCGCTTTAACAAACACATGGACGTGTATGGTATTGCCGTATGGTAGATGGAAATATGTCGTGGAGAATAAACGAAATATACCGCCAGACTTTCATCGGAGAGAATTGACATGGATTACAATGCATTACCTGTGATTACAGAAAATGGCTATGGAATGTTGAAATGTCAGGATCAATGTAGACAGTCTCTTGGAAAATAATAACGTCTTCATGTACAACAATGGTATTTTCCAGCCCACAATTATCTGGAAATCATATTCACCGCATCAGAGTCAGACAGAAAATTATCTGCTAGTAGTAACATAAATATCCTTCGGTTGGGGGCATGAAGTATGATATTTTGCTATGTACAGACGAAAAGGACCACCATTTGTTGCTAATGCTTTATATCTAGTTAAGGAGAGTTGCCTTACCACAGACACACTACACACTGCTAGATGTCCTTACTCGTCACTTGCCTTACCATCAACACACGACACACAAGTACTCGTCCTAACTCGTCAGTTGCCTTGCCGTCAACACACTACATACAAGTACTCGTCCTAACTCGTCAGTTGCCTTGCCGTCAACACACTATACACAAGTACTCGTCCTAACTCGTCAGTTGCCTTGCTGTCAACAAACGTCACACAGCTAGATGTCCTTACTCGTAAGTTGACTAACCGTTAACACACGACACACAGCTAGATGTCCTCACTCGTCAGTTATATTACCGTCAACACACGACACACAGCTAGATGTCCTCACTCGTCAGTTGCCTTACCATCAACACACGACACACAGCTAGATGTCCTCACTCGTCAGTTGCCTTACCTCCAGCACACGACACACAGCTAGATGTCAGTTGCATTACTGTCAACAAACGTCACACAGCTAGATGTTGTTACTCGTTAGTTGCCTTACCGTCAACACACGACACACAGTTAGATGTCCTCACTCGTCAGTTGCCTTACCTCCAACACACGACACACAGCTTGATGTCCTTACTCGTCAGTCGCCTTACCACAAACACACGACACACAGCTAGATGTCCTCGTTAGTCAGTTGCCTTACCATCAACACACGACACACAGCTAGATGTCCTCGTTAGTCAGTTGCCTTACCATCAACACACGACACACAGCTAGATGTCCCAACTCGTCAGTTGCCTAACCTCCAACACACGACACACAGCTAGATGTCCTCACTCGTCATTTGCTTTACCTCAAACACACGACACACAGCTAGATGTCCTTGCTCGTCAGTTGCCTCACCATCAACACACGACACACATCTAGATGTCCTCACTCGTCAGTTGCCTTACCTCTAGCACACGACACACAGCTAGATGTCCTTGCTCGTCAGTTGCCTTACCATCAACACACGACACACAGCTAGATGTCCTCACTCGTCAGTTGCCTTACCGTCAACACACGACACACAGCTAGATGTCCTCGCTCGTCAGTCGCCTTACCCATCAACACACGACACACAGCTAGATGTCCTCACTCGTCAGTCGCCTTACTCTCTAATCAACTCTCTACACATATATAGATAGATCCTTTTTGACAGCATAATAATTCCAATATTGACATATGTAGCAGAAATCTAGGGATGTAACAACGCAGAAACTGTGGAAAGGGTACAGACGAAATATTTCAGGAAAATACTTTATCTACCGAATTCGGCCAGTCACGATGCTGTTCTAGGGGAATGTTGACGACATAAACTGTACACAACTTGCCTTCTGAAGTGTATTAAATACTGGACAAATGTCATCAAAATGAATTATAACAGACTACCTAAACAAACATATATGATGTGGTATGGTCCAGACGAAGCACGGAGAACAGCACGGGTCACGCACATTAAGAAAATTCTATTTAAATTGTTTGGGATACGAACGAACATGATACATTCTTATCTGAATTCAAACAACGGGGTATCGACTCGGATCACATAGATGACATTCCTCTATTTGTTTCAACTCTAAACTTTTCTCCTATTCTCCGTGAGTTAACAGTGCGGCTGCATGGCTGCTATATTAGTGGTTATGAAGATTCATTCTTCGTTTTAATTTAAGTTCTGATTTTAATCCGATTAAATTTTAAGTTTTTGTGAGTACAAAAACAAATCGTTTGCAAAAGTGTGATGGTGCCAATGTTACCTCCATCGGCCATGCAATTCGGAAAATGTTTTTAGATTCGAAAAACCCATGACTCCCAAGGTGAAACTTGTCATCCGCTCAGTGTAAATGAAATAAGTTTACTGAAAAAAAGGGTTAATAGTTAACACCTATAGCTACACCTACGCCTATCCCGGAGGCTATTAAAACAAGGTTACTTTACTCTAAAAACTGAGAGTGGTGGAACATTTGAAACCGAAGAGGACGACGATGTGTAAGGGGATGAAGACGAAGTGGTGAAAGTTTGGTGAAAAATAAGTCAAGGCTTATACCTAGGCCTCCACGCGGGAAAGAAAAATATTTGGAAGACTTTTAGGACAAACTTGAAAGTGTCTCTGTCCATGTAAAACAAACAAAACGATACTTTTCTGAATATGAATTAAAAGGCCTTACTTATCTTAAAATAATGCAGACATCGTTATTAAAAAGCCGATAAAAGAGGTGCTATGGTTATTATTAATAAATCCGTGAATGATAATGTCCATTTTAAATGATGATTAATATTATAGCAATTCTCGTAAAAAAGAAGAAACATTTGTCCAGAATAAGATTAACAAACTGTCAGATAGGTATGGTGCTTAAATTTTTGGTAAAGAAAAAGACTGTCTTACCGCTAAATCCTACGGCCTACGATGGCCCAAAGTACATAAAAGTAATTTATTCAAAGGGAAATTAATTATTAAAAATTGTGAAGTTATTTCTATTGGAGGATTGGATTTCTCCGGAGGATTTTCCTTTTACATCTATTGTAGGAGGACCAGTGAACTGTACTCAGCGTCTTACCATAGATATCATTCTTCAGCCCTTATGTAAACATATCTCAGAGTGAGTGAGTGAGAATGGTTTTACGCCGCTTTTAGCAATATTCCAGCAATATCATGGCGGGGGACACCAGAAATGGGCTTCACACATTGTACCCATGTCGGGAATCGAACCCGGGTCTTCGGCGTGACGAGCGAACGCTTTAACCACTAGGCTACCCGACCGCCCCACATATCTCAGAGATAACATTAATTTTTGTATGTAAATTACCTACTGAGGTACCGGGAGGATCGATGCTAGTTAGTTTGTATGTTGTTAGTTCGTACAGAAATATTGAAACTGGGCTCGGATTGAAAGCTGATAGATATTGGCTGAAAGAGTACCACTGTGAAATACCAGATAGATTTTCGGATTAGTTTATCTATGATGCATTGAAGTTAGTTGTTATCAATAACATGTTTTTTTATGGATCTTAATATTCAGAAAGAAAGGAGAAACAATGGGTACAAAGGTAGCCCCAACTTATGCAAGCCTTGTTTTGGGTTTTAGAGAATATGTTTTATGATGAGGTGAGAGACACTCTTAGAGAATATACGAAAAAACAATAAAACATTCCTGGTTAAGGTTTTTAGACTGTTTTATCACATTAAAAACCAGTGACGGTCATAACATACTAAATCCGCTTTGTTGTCACTCAATTTCACTATGGAAAAAAGCGAATCCAGTTTAACCTTTCTCGATGTGACAATCAATTTAATTTATGAGGAATTTGTACAAACTGATATCTATTATAAGGATACTGATATTTAGATTTAGATTTTGGATCATGTTACCCTTACGATTTGAAACGTCATATCCCTAAATGTCTCGCAAGACGTATTTGTACCATGATGAGATGAGGTTAAAACTAGCCGCCTTGCTAAACTTAAGAGTTTGCATCAAAACTATCCCGCAAAGCTAATTAAAGATAGCATACGCTAGGCACTTGGTATTGAGCACCCAATATTTAGAGAAATATCTGAAGAAAACGATGTGTGGGTCACTTTAACGCTTGTATCTACCTTCAACCCAAATCATGAAAAGACATTGTCCATGGTTTAAAGTTACCTGCCTGTTTTGAATCACAGTACAAAAAGAAGAGAGGGTATTAA